GTTAGATGTTTCTTATGCTCAGTTTTGGGTTGTACCCATTCCCTTAGACTTGTTGCACTTTAGATGTTTTGGTACAATGACTTTCAGGTTCTAAGGGTTAAGACTTTCGCATTAATTTGGTTAAGTTATTTGTTTAAACCTTTGGAGTTTATGGGAACTCTATATAATCTATGCATTTAAACCTGCTTCCGTATCTTTAAATGCCTAATTTTAGTTAAGTTGCTTAGTCAGGTTGTAGTAATGGTTCTCCCACTGGAGGGTTAGTATGGGTGCCAATCACGACGGTCTGGGTCATGACATTACCAAAATCTTTTGGGTCCATCATTTAATAACTCAAAAAGTATGTTTTTATCGGACAACCTTAGTATCTATCATTTATGTTTGTGTTCAAGAAATATATTTCAAATGTATAATATACATATCTTTCAGTATTGAGGTGCTTTCTTACTTCCATTTTTTCCGCTGAAATTTTGTGTGGGTGACCGAGATCTTCTTAAAGTACTAAATGAATGATACGTTGAAGTACTCCACCGTATCTTTTTGATCTATTTTAAATTTGATGATTGAATAGTAATCATGTGGTTTTGAGGTTTTATTTCTCACATTTATAGTAGGGTTCTTGTATATTGTCTTGAAATGGATGTTTTGAGCTGTATTTCAGTACACAACGATGTTATTTGAATTAATAAAATTGCGTTGTTATACTCTCTTTTTTTCAAGAAAGCTCTCACATCATATTTACTGTTCTGGGATGATTAAAACTATGTCAAGAAAGTTAAAATGTTAACTCGATTTGCCCTATAGTAATTTTCCAGATATATGAGTTATGACGGATACAACTTTTTTGTTCCTTTCTGCTTCAATTAAGTTAGAACCTAGAGCCTAATGACACAACATACAAAGTACCGACATAGACATTCACACTTCTTTTGATCCTATCTTTATTTTATAGGTAGTGTTGAACTACAATTCTTCATTTGATAAGATCTTCATTTGCTTGTGGATGGTTCAAGTTCAAACTTAGTAAAATGTACAATACATTATGTACTCTCCAATTTATCCCGATTTGCAAGGGGATAATTGCTCTTTTTCCCTTTCTGGTGTTCAACATAAATTAGTTTTTGTGATGCATAATATCTTTTCACATGTTTATTCTTTCATTACTGCTGGACCACATAATTCATGTGAATATCATTCAATTATAGATATATTTTTTATGATGATAGAGTTTTCTTTTATCTTTTTGATATGTATAGCAACTCTTAAAAAATATTTAGTGAATGATTTCCTCGAAGAAAGCTATGTTTTCTAGATGTTCTTTCAAAAATGTTAACTCATAAAATGCTCCGTTTTGTTTGTAAAGAGAAAGCATTTTCCTCTTCTTAAGAATGTCTAGCTTGTAGCTACAGTGATATCAACATAACTGACATAATTAAAATAAGAGATATGCAAATGAGCATTTGTTATCCCTTGCATATTAAGATACATTAAATTAGTACTAATTGTAGAACAAACAAACTATGTGTTTAACAACATTTAGTCTAGGCTATTTATTGAAGTAGTTTTCTTCTTCTTCTTTTTTTTGGTGTAAAAGGCAATTTTATTCAGTATTAAGTTAAATCATACATAGTAGTTGTATTTAGGAGAGCCTAATCCATCTTTGTCCATTTGTAGTTTTGACAGTGCATCTTCTCAATGAATTGACGTGAAATGATTTGATAGTCTGAATGGTCAAATTTCAATTCAAGATTTCAAGTTTTAAATTTCACCTTTCCATTCATTTTGTGTTTGTCCAGCTACTTAAATTTTAATTGCTTATTTTTAGCTAGCCTTACTTAACATTGTAGGAATGAGAGGAATTTCCCACCGTTGCTCAACTCTCTCCATCAAGGATGTTTGCTTATATATCTTTATACCTATCGGAAGGTATACCTTACCTGGTAAGATTTTGATACAATGAGGGCTAAGCTTCATAAAGGGAGTGAGAACTAAGCTTTCATAAAATTGTAATTAAAATCTCTAAACCTTGAGATCTGCTTCGCTATCAAATTGTCATTACTCTCATTGCATCAGTTATAATCATTTTTTTTGTTTTTAACAATTAAATGAGTTTTTGTGTTTATCTTCATAATCTTTACACCCTTGCTTTCTCTTTTTCTTTTGATTCCTTTTTATTGAATTCAGGTCAAAGTGGATTGTGGGATACTTATGAAGTAGCAAGGTGAAGTTGTGTTAGCGCTTGATTTTATAAGAAACGATTGAGTATGTTATGATTGTAGAAGCATTCGAAACCTCCAAATACAATTTTAATACTACAAGCTTTTGTGAAATGACAAATTTTGAACTGATCTGACCTTTCTGTCATGCTTCAATTTTCTCAGTTATTGAGAAAGTAAAATGTGGGGTCTGTGCTCAGCACAAACATAACCAGCAAGTGTGTGTATATATTACCCTTATTTAGAAATGGGACTTAAAAAGGACCAACACTACATCTTTTCATTGTACTAAAGGCAGTAGTAATTGTACATTTAGAAATGGGACTTAAAAAGGACCAACACTGCATCTTTTCATTGTACTAAAGGTAGTACTAATTGTACATCAATAAAGACGTCTCTCATTTTCCTTTCACTTTGTCTAGAAGTTTCTTACTATATCTCACAATTTTCTAACCCTAATTTCTCTCCTCCTTTCTAAGGTCGCTCTATTCTCTCAACTCTTCTTTCTACTTCTCAACTCTTCAATGGCGAATCCATCTGTTGCTTAGTCTTTTATGTTTGTCTACAGACTTTAAATCTGCTTTGCTGAAGATTTCTGTTTGTTTCGAACGCGCTGCGCAGGTACTTCTTCATGATTTAAGCAAAATTTACATGTTTGCTCCATCATTTGCTCTTTCTCCGATTCCTAATTTGTCTTCTGTAGACCATATTAAGGCATATTATACTATATGTACTGCAAACTTCTGCTCAATAATTGCATGTATTTGTCTATTGCACTATATTCACCATCGAACCACCAGAACCCCTCAAAACCGCAAAATTGGCTTTCACACTTTCAGTGCTTGGAAGCTTCGGGTTTTAAGGGTTTCTCGGTTTCTTTTTTTCCTATTGTTTACGCTTTCAATTTCAGATCTTTGTACTCTTCAATTTTGGGATGGTTTTTGCCTTTTTCCATCTGGAACTGTCTAAATCTATTTCATCTTTAAGTTAGATTTGATCCTACTGGCCGTTGATAAATTCATCAAATTTATCCACAAATTCTTTTTTTTTTTGATTGGTCTCGACGGACTTACATGGAGATTCCACCATTCATGTCAACCTCAGTTTTCCTACTTAAACATATTCTGATTTGTCACATATGTTGTATCCTCACATGTTTGGTATTCAGAGCTTTTATATGTCTTTGCTTTCATTTCCCTCAATAGTTGTCCAAAGAAATTCATTAGTATATATATATGAGGCAGATGCAGAAGCCCAACATATGTATGATGAAAAAAATGTACAATCAGGATTAGTTGCATTTAATTTTTAAAAATATTGAAAGTTTATATCATTATTGGAGTTTGAAAATTGTTCTAAATTAAAATAAAATTATAAGTAAAGACTTTCACCCACTAGCCACATATTATGGAAGCATATTAAATGAAAGTTGAAAATTTTAAATTTATTTTGAATGTTAAAAAAATTGTCAATTTAATTTGTGTTTTTTTTTTCGAAAAAAAAAAGAGAGTAGTTTTAATTAATTACAATCATATTGTGATCAAATTTGGTTAGGAAATAATTTCATGTACAATTTCAAATAATGTTAACTTAAAATAAATATATCAACTCAAAATTATTAGTTTTCAAAATTTTCAATTCAACAAAAATATATAGATTACACCACAAATTTCCAACATGAAAATTGACAATGCGAGACTCAAATTATAATTAAATAGTCTTATACTAATTCTAATGAAAAAATTATATTCAATTAAAGTATAATAATGCTTATCTTAAAAATCATGTTGTCTAATTTGGATTTCTTTATATATACTCAACTATTAAATGAAAAATAAAATATTAAAAAAAAAACATAATCAACTTTATTGTTTACTATTCTAGGAGATATTACAACCAAGTTATCGGGACAAGCTTGAAGTGTAACATATGTATTTTCTTTACCAAAATTAAATGTGCATATAGTGAGGGATACATAGAGCCCGTTTGGATTGACTTAAAAAAAGTAACTTTTAAAAAGTAACTTTTTAAAGTGCTGAAACTTATTTTAAAAATAAGTAGTTATGTGTTTGGATAAAAGTGTTGCAGTTGAAAAAAAGTTGTTGATGTGTTTGGCAAATAAGTGCTGGTAAACACTTTTTTTAATCAAAATGTCTGAAATACCCTTTAAGCTGTTAACATGATAAAAAGTTGATTAATTTAAGGTTTTTATACTTAAAAATAAATTAATACAAAATTAATTTATATTTTACATCCATAAGCAATAATATTTTCCTAACATTCACATATTTCTTTATCATCACAAATTATTTATAAGAGAAATATAAATTTATTATTTAAGTTAATTTTATATGCGCAACTTATTGTAGATTTTAAAAATATATAATTTGAATAGATCAAAGGAAAGATTTAAGATTTATTTTAGTTACATTCATAAGTAATAATAATTGTCTATCATTCACATATTTCTTTATCATCATAAATTATTTATAAGAGGAATATAAGTTTATTATTTAAGTTAATTTTATATGTTCAATTTATTTTAGATTTTAAAAATATATAATTTGAATAGATCACTTGACAGATTTAAGATTTATTTTAGTTTCATTCATAAAGTAATAATAATTGTCTATCATTCACATACTTCTTTATCACCACAAATTATTTATAAGAGGAATATAAATTCATATTTCAAAAATAAGTTGTTTGATTCAAATACAATTATCAAAATGACAGAGAACACTTCACTAATATAAAAGTGGAAATACTAAAATAATACAAACATCAAACGTTACCAATTTCATTAGCAATCATGTCACGAAGCCCCATCCAATAAGTATCACTTTGTTCTTCCATATTTTCTTCTATATTGTTAGTGCTTGAACTTGTGCCAAATTCAGAGTCAACCGATGGAATATATCTCTCATCCTCAGCTGTTTGAAAGGCATCATCCACATTGCATTTTTGTTTAATATAATTGTGAATGGCCATAGTAGCAAGTACGATGTCCCTTTGAGTGTCAATGTTATAATAAGGCATATCTCGCAAAATAGACCACCTTGCTTTCCAAACACCAAATGTGCGCTCTACTATATTTCTACATGGAGAATGCATATAATTAAATTTTTCAATGTGTCCTCTTGGCTCACGCAATTGTCTTGTTGCACCACGACGAAAGTCAGGAAAATGATATCTCACATTGTCTCCTTTGTATGGAGCCATATATCCCTTCATATGTGCATATCCTGCATCCACTAAATAATATTTGTTTCCTAAAGGATGTGGAAAGTTAAGTTCACTTCTACGAAGAGCGTCACCAAATATACGATTATCATGAGCCGCTCCTTCCCACCCAGCCCATGCAAATGTAAAACACATATTAAAATCCACAACAGCAAGGATATTTTGAGTCGAATAACCTTTACGTCCAATATAAGGTATTTGTTGACCTTGTGGCAATCTAGCTTTGACATGTGTGCCATCAAGTGCTCCAATACAATCCTAAAAATATAGGCATGTAAGCTAAAGAAATATAACAAGTAATACTAAAAAAATATAGGAGTTAATATCTTAAAAGGTCACTCAACTTTCACAATTTATTTAACAAAGTCATTGAACTTTATTTTATATCAAATAAAGTTCTATTTCTTATTGATTCATCATCATATAGCATTTTCATTGGCTTATAACAAGAACGGTGCCAATGGTTCAATACATGATGATTATAACATGATAATATGGAGAATAGGAGCAGTTATTAATCCAACATCAAGAGTGGGCAAAGAGCAAAAGATAGCTCTGGAAATGGCAGCATGATGACTTCTATATCAAATTAGAACTCAAATCAATGAAGTTGAGTGACCTTTAAGGCTGTTACTTACCTTAAAGAAAGGCAAATATCGTTCATTACATGGCTTGTGAGCTCCAACACCATCATTATAATTTAAACGTGGTTTAATAATGTCTCTTGCAAGCTTAGAAACTGCTTTTAAAACACTGTGAAAGTGTTTATGAACCGTCTCCCCCGAATGTTGAAAGATATCTTGTATCATTCGGTTTCCCACTCCATGTGCACAAGTCATTAAGAACATGCCTAACATTTCATGTATAGACATTCCATGCGTGGGCTTAAGTCCATATTTTTCATTTAAATCTTTGGATAAATCAACAAACACCACCTTCTTTAATTGAAAATTTTCATAACAACGAGTTTCATTTCCTTGTAATATCTCTTGAATAAATTATATACCCGGAACGCCTTGATGTACGACAAGGTTCTTTGAATAAATAGTTTTCATAATACATTAAAATGTATTTACTTGCTATCTGGCATAGAGCCATCCATTCTTTCTTGTTTTGCTCTCTCCTACTTTGTTCTAGTTCTTCATCTAACAAATCACTTAAATGGGGTGATATGGTAAAGTCCAAATCCTCCATTTAACTACAAATCACTACTTTATATTAGTAAATACATTTATATAAATTCAATCACAACATACATTTTTATATAAATCCTACACAATAAACACCTATATATAAATTTACACAACAAACACATATATATATAAATTCAACATAACAAACACCTATATATAAATTCAACACAACATATACATTTACATAAATTCAACATAACAAGCACCTATATATAAATTCAACTCAACAAACGCATATGTATAAATTCAACAAAATGAATACCTATATATAAATTCAACACAACAAATACATTTACATAAATTCAACACAACAAATACATTTATATAAATTAGGACTTTACTTTAAAAAAATTAACCATACAATCATAATGTCTAAACAAAATTAAAGATAATAAATAACGTTCATGCGTACAAGCATAATGTCAAACATAAAATAATAAAATTACTTTTTCTATAACAACACATTCTTCACACTTTCTTAAGGTATAACTGATAGTTATACTCCATCCAAGACTTTCGAGCTTCATCCGTAGGCATCTTAAGAAACACTTGTCGAATGTTTTTTTTAAGAAACATGTTCACAAAATAGTTGTACATTTCACCCCTTTCAAAAATACCGAGAATGTTTGCCAAAAAATCCATACACTTATCAATGGTGGGATCATCTACCGCATGAGATGTAGCAGTACTGTTGTTAGACATTAACTCTACTAAAGAGTGCATATCTTCTTTCATTGATGCAGCTGTAGATTTTGTCTTACTTTTTTTCACTTGATTACTAGTTCCAATACCATCAGTTGGATTTGGTCTTTTTAATGATGGTATAGGAAACATAGTAGAATCCATGTCTTGTGGATCATCACTTTCATCACGCCCTTCATTATTAGAATTAATGAAGTGCTCCATATCATCATTATCAATACCATTTGGTCTTTCTTCGTCAGAATCTACCTCAGTTTCAAAAAATTGGGATTGATTTGAGGCACGTGCTATTTCCCCCGTAGCAACAATATCAGAAAATAACGCATCATAGCGAAACCATATGAGTGAAAGATCCTTATTCCTAAATTTTCTATATCGAACATCCTCCTGTAACAAAAGATGAAACAACAAATTTAAGTAAGTAAAAATGTAACAATAAAAGAAATAAAAAGACATATAAAACAATGTGAGAAATGTACCTTAATTTTTCGCTTCCACCAATCATCATCTGCCATAATTGTATTTTTGGTGGCATCCCATCCTATACTTGTATCTCCTCTCATCAATTGCTTAAAAAGAGTCCACTCAGCTTTCATGCCATCCCAATGATTTTTCATTTGTTTTTTTTTATAGCGTCTTCCCGTTTTTTCATAGAATGCTTTAATCGTATTTTTCCATCCATCTCTAGATAAATGAGTGTTTGGTCTATTTCCTTTTCTAATCTCTAATTCACATAACTCTATAAATTTGAGATGAGCATCATCATCCCACTTAGCATTAGTTTTTGTTTCCGACATGGTATAACTGATCTGAAGATTAGAATTGATAAGAAAATTGAAAATAACTACTTCCATAATTTTATATAGATGACAAATATATACTACACACAATCAAATTATATATACATAATCCAAAAAAACACACAAAACAGAAAGTACAAAAAACAGAAAATACACAAAACAAATTGAAAATAACTACTTCCATAATTTTATATAGATGACAAATATACTACACACAATCAAATTATATATACATAATCCAAAAAAAAAACACAAAACAGAAAGTACAAAAAACAGAAAATACACAAAACAAATTGAAAATAACTACTTCCATAATTTTATATAGATGACAAATATATACTACACATAATCAAATTATATATACATAATCCAAAAAAAAACACAAAACAGAAAGTACACAAAACAGAAAATACACAAAACAAATTGAAAATAACTACTTCCATAATTTTATATAGATGACAAATATATACTACACACAATCAAATTATATATACATAATCCAAAAAAAAACACAAAACAGAAAGTACACAAAACAGAAAATACACAAAACGAAATCAGCTACAGAAGACGCACAAAAAAAAATACATAATAAAAAAAACAAAAATTGAAAGATAATCAAGAAAACTTAAAGTTTCAAGCTGATTTCGTTTTTCCTACATATGATATTATTGCTATCAATCAAGAGAAAAGGAAGAAAACTAATAAAAAGATAATCGAAAGAAACTTACTTCAAACTTTAGATCTTCACCTTCAAATTGGGAGAAAAGGAAGAAGAAGCTCAGCAGCCGAGTGGAAATTGTATAAAAGAATTGGGGAAAGAGATCGATGTTAGGGTTAATTAAAGATGGGCAATTTGGAAATTGTATAAAAAATTAAGGGCAAAAAGGTAATATACTTGGTCAACTTAAAAGTGCTTTTAAGTTTAAAAAAAAAAAGCTCCCCCCCTAGCTTTTAGCTTTTGGCTTAAAATAAGTCATTTTTGACTTAAAATAAATCACTTTGATAATTGACAAACACTCTAATAAGTCAAAAACTGGCTTTTAAGCCAGTTTGGCCAGCTTAAAAGCCCATCCAAACAGGCTCATATTCAACTCCTCTAGTAGCGGATCCTCGCATATGAACATCCTGAATGATTTTCCTCATGATAATCTCTTTTGCATTACGTGTTTTCCCTTGGAACACTCGACAATTCCTTTCCTGCCACCCATGGTCATACGATATATTTAAGCATTGATACGTACTCTTGCCTCTCATGTGTGTTATTGCCCATTTCACCTCATCCTGCCATGTCATAATGTGTCACATGATGCCCTGCCACACCAAGATTTTTTTGTCCAAATTAAGGACACATTAAAAACATATTCTCCACAGCAGCTTGATCACACAATGGACAAGTATATGTCAGATTCAACACATCCCCAATTTAATTACTAGCCTGGCTTTGGTAAGTAGTCTTTTATGCAGAGCCAAAAACAAGATAAATTTCCACTTTGGAGCTTCATATATAATTAATTAGACCATACGAGCTTCCTCCAGTCCACCTTATTTGATTCTCCTCTCATTTTCTTATATATTGAACTAATAGAATAATTAGACCTCATGCTCAATACTTCATCTTCTTGTATCCTTTGTGAAGTATATATAGTTGTGCCTTTAAGATCCTTCGCACTTGTTTAGGCAATGTTGCCCATAGTACGTGTGTATCCACACCACCCGGAGTTTATCTTTTTTTGTATAGAAAATAAAACACTCTTGATGAGTTGAGTCCATCCAGCGTATGATAAGAATGTAGAGGATAAATTAGTGATCCTTCCTAGTACGTATTTTATCAATGGGAGACTTACATTGGACAACAAAGAGTCTCTTAGTACCCTAAGATATCTGAAAGGTACCTCTCCTTTGACAAAATTAAGTTCCGCCAACATTTGAACTTGTAGTTCACCAGGTATTCCACCAAAATATATAACACCTTTTGTCCATATTAGCTATCAATCCTGACGCTTTGGAAAACTCCTGGAAGCAAGCAAATAACTGCATAATAGAGTCTTTATCACCCCTACAGAAAAGTAGTAAATCATCGTCAATACTAAGCTGCACAATTTTCTGTTTTTTGCATTTGGGATGAAATTGAAATCCTACTTTACTTTGTAGAGTCTTCACAAGTCTACTCCTTTTTTTTTTGCAGGAAAGTCTAAAGAGTAGTTATTATGTCTCAAGTTTTGTCAAGTTCAGAAGTGTAATAAAAGTGTTGACAAATGAGGTCAAACTTCAGACAAAATGTTCGATAGTTGACCTTGATATGACTACTATTTAGAAAAAGCATATATAAAGTGTGGCAAATTTAAGACATAAACATTTGCAACTTTAGTCTCATATTTCTAAAATGATTCCAAAATGAATATATAAACAAAATAAATTTGACCTTTGCTACCACATAAATTGAGATCCTAAAATTGAATATTTGTACACCCCGCTCTTAAACATAGTGATCTAGAATAATACGAAATCAAAAAATTGGGTTCACTAGCCATTTATTGGATTGATCTTTTAAGTTTAACCAAAACGAAATTCCAAAAGAATTACTTTTTAATGCAAACATATATTTTGAATAAAAATATCCTAAGTTAAAATTTCACAAGGCTTCAATTTTATTTTTTTCAATAGTTAAAAAATATATCAGTTTAGAATTTAGTAGTTTGAACTACACATCTCAAACTCCAGAAAAAATAATAACTGTATTCGTGAATTTTGAGCTATCATAATTTGAACTTTATGAACTTTTCATGCAATTTTAAATTGCTACCGTTCGAATTTTATGTCAAAATGTTGCAGCTTGAACTCTAGCAGTTTAAAACTGCATGGAAAATATTTTAGCAGAAAATCTTAGAATTTGAAGTCTAGAGGTCTTTTGGTTTGACAACAACATGCTGAGATTAGTTATCTTGATATTATATTTTATTGATAATTTAGTTTATTATATAAGAAATAACATGCATTGCATAATTTTCTTTAAAAAATTACTTTATTTACAGCGATACTCTCCGTATTAATTAGTAGAAGAAGGAATTGAGATATTTTTGTATTTTCATTATTTTATTATGGGACAACTAATTTTAATATTATTATTCCACCCTCTAACAAAAATAAGTTATTCCAATACTAATTACTAATTCTGGTATAACTTATTCTAGAATTAAAAATCAAATAATGGATAAGGCAGTATTCCTTTTGATCCTTTTTACTTGTCTATTATATTAAAAATAGATGTTCTTTTTCGCTTATTCGATTTAGAAAATTAAAAGATAATTTATCCGTTAGTTCATAATTTACGCCTATTATTAAATATATTCATTTTGTAAATGTGCAGTAATACATGCTATACATGAAATTTGAATCACAAACAGGTCATTCTTGTATGTTATTTGAGAAAATACATAAAGTGACACCTGAAGTTGTTTTGAATTTTCAAAAAGACACATTAATTATGCGGGTGTCCTATTACCCCCCTAAACAATTTTGAATTTATATTATTATATCATTTTTCGATCAATTCCAAATTTAAAAAAGCAAGTGTTATCACACATCAATCATTAAGTGGCACGTGTTAATTTAATTTGAAATAAATTTCTTTCATTTTAAGTTTTTCTTTATTTCTCTCTCTCTTACTTTTTGACTTATTTTAATTTTATTACTTTAATTTCAATTTCATTGTAAATTCTATTTCATCTTCCACCCCCCACTTTCAAGCTACCCCTCTCTCCATTTTCTTTCTTTCTTTCTTCTTCTTCACCTCCCAGCCTCACCTCACCCCACCCCCACGTTAAGTTGAGCCCCTCCTTCATTTTTTTTTTTTTTACTTCTTCTTCTTCTTCGGTCAAATTCCTTTCTTTCAAAAATCATACTATTTTCTAGACTTTGTTGAGTTATTGATAACAAAACTAATTATTTTTCTAAGAAAAATCAAAATTTTGAAGGTATCATCAATTACTTTATCTCATTTTCATATAACTTCAAAACTAGAAATGATAAATTTTGAAAGAATCAATGAATTCTCCGAAAATTGAGAAAGTTTAATTGAAATTTGGATTAAGAAAACAAAATAATACCTACTAATCATCTTGAAATCTAATGGGTTTATTAAATTGTTCGAAATGTAAAAAAATATTTAGATATAATTTTAAAATTGAGGAGAGTTAACTAATAGTAGTAAGAAAAGGGAGGTGAAGTTGTGGTAAAAAGTGACATTGAAAGTGAGAAGCTTTAATGGAGATGACAATGAATTTTGAAGAAGAAGGAAGAAAGAAAAAGAAAAAAATAATAAGGAGAAAAAGTTGAAATAGTAAGAAAAACAAGAAAATATATTTTATAGCAAAACACTTGTAAAAATAAAATTATATTCATTATTTTAGTTTGTTTACGCTCTTTAAGAGAGTGCATACACTCTCTATGCCAGGTGGACAAAAAATGATGTAATACTATCAGTTCACGATTGTTTAGGAGGTAATAAAACGCTTGCATAGTTTAAGAGTCTTTTTAAAAATTCGGAACGACTTCAGGTGTCACTTTATGTCTTTTCTCATATTATTTCAATGTAATATGATTCATTTGCATATCAAAGAGGACAGAGTATATCCTTTATGAAAATTGGGAAAATTTTCATACAATTATAATTATCTAATTTATATTTAAAAATATAATTTAAAACTACATTATAAGTTTTAGCACAAAATATAATTTGGTATAAAATAATACACAAAACTTTCATATTTTTTCTAATAGAAGTGTTTAAAAATTTGGTATACAATATTATACACCTAATATACAATATTATACAAAATTATAAAAGATATAATATATAATTTTATACACTATTATACAAAGAAGAATTTGTCAAGTTTCGTCTCCTGATTTCTCTGAAATAACAAAATAGAATCTTCTAAAAATTTATCTAGAGGTTGATCTAGTAATCACCTATCATCAATAAGTAAGACATCATGAATCATGACAAAATTTGACTGGAGAATATTTTGAAGATTACTTTACAGTTTGCTCTTGAGATATTGCTATAATAATCATATCTTTAATTTGCATTTTTTTTGAGTTATGATTGAAATTTTAAGACGATTCTTATTATGATAGTGTATCTTAACTAAAAATTATGTAAAATAATTTTATGAACCGTGTTATCTCTTAAAATTTTCCTTGACAAGTGGAAAACACTCTTAAGCTTCAATTACACGTGTCTTTATAGCTGTAACGGCATAAAAGACCAAAAAATCCAATTATTGCATATAGTAACTGTAACTATTTAATAAAAATGAGCCAAGATGTATTGTGTGGAGAGTTCCACTGGCATAGTTAGACAAGTCGTGGTGGAATAAAACATCAGTTCGTAATTTTATGAAAGGAGTGTTTTCCAAAAATGTAAGGACAAACTCCTAAGCAAGTGGAGACCACAACAAATAAATTAGTGGAATTTCAAAAGATCTTTTATCACTATCTTCCCATTCCACGTACATTTGAATTCAATATTTTTAATGTAATTTATTATAATTTAGCACAGGAAAAAGTTAAAGAAAATTCAACATATATTATGTATATATAAAATATATATAACAAAATGTAATTTTTCGTTAAAAATGATTTAAATGAATCAACCTTTGGTTAATAATCTCAATGTAACCATTTCTCTAAGATTTCATCTTTATATCAAACTATTCTTTCTTTATCTTCTTCTTATTCACGTAAGGAGTTAATAAAATCAGTGAATTATCTTTAAAATTTGTGTAATATTTTTTTTTTTTTGATTTTGAGAGTGACTGACGAAGATAAATTTGTTTGTTACAGTTAACCCACAAAGGCAGTGTTGATATGTATTTTCAGAAAGGGTCCCTTTTAATCTATTATATTTAAAAAGTGTCCGTTTTAAGAATAAACTCCCCCTATACCCCACTTCCTTTTGCGTTTTCAAGTTGTTGTGTCAAGAAAACAAAGAGTGTTACTGTGGTTTAAGAGAAAAACTAATATAAGACAAATCAAAGTAGTAAGTACAGACATATCATGTCTGAATGAAGACTTGATAAACATATCATGACACAGCTTGCATTCAGTTCCAACATCTTTTGAACAAAGTAAAAAACCCACATAGTAGAGTCGCCCCTTGTTTTCTATTATGATAAATATATACATAATGAAATGGTTGTCTCTTGTGCACTAAATATCTTTTTTATTCAATTGTTAAAATAAGAAGTTCAGGATTCTTCTTCTTAATCGATTGGGGTTTATTCCATTCATTACCCCTTTTCATGTGAGATAATGTAATTTGATCTGATTAGGTGCATATTCATAGAATGAATGAAGGTATTTCATCTTTAAAACTATCCATGATTACGAAGGTCTGGATCTAGCTTTGGTACCATGTCAAATTAAGTTAAGGATGGGTCTAACTCACCAATATCTGTCGTGGAGCTCACTAATTAATCATAATTTGTGCTTTGAAGAACTCATTTCTACCAAGGAATTGCGCTTCCAATAAATTATTTTCCATTTCGAAGCTCAAACCAAAATCCTATTTAAAATGAGGAGATCTCAACCATTCGATCACAATTCATATCAATAAAATAAGCTTAAATATGATTAATTTATTAGTTTTATCAAGTTAGTATTATAAAAATTAACCGATTACTTTATTGTGTGTGAATCAGTGCATAGAAGAAATTTAAAAAAATTGAAAATAGAAGACATTTTTTTTTGTTTTTATTTGTGGTTAAGACATTTTTTTTGTTTTTATTTGTGGTTAAGACATTTTTTTTGTTTTTATTTGTGGTTAAGACATTTTTTTTATATAAGTGCCGTAATTGATTGAAAGAGTGTGTAACTATTTGTGGATCAATATATATATATATATATATATATATATTGATTCATAAATAGTTACATACTCTTTCAATCAATTACGGCACTTATTTTTTAGATCTAGAAGTAGGTAAATGCAAAGTCTAAGAGATTAGAATCCCAAATAGCCAAATATAACATATGAAGATTATATATCTTGAGACAAAGGGATATTTACAAACCCCTTTACAACCACAATCTAATCCCAAATGGCCAAATATAACATATGAAGATTATCTAGAAACAAAGTGATATTTACACACCCCTTTACAACAACAATCAAAAAGTGTTGTACCCCATCTCTTTTTTGTTTCTTTTCACCTCTAAATTTTCTACAAAACAAAGTTAATCCCAAAAAGGAAAAAAGTTGACTTCTAAATTATATTTACCCAAATCTACAAGACAAGATATATTATTTATTGAAAGTTGAAATTCTCTAACACATGTGATCGTAGTGGATGAAGGCTGCTTTTTCAAGCCATGAGTATGCCGTGCTTTCTCAAAATAGGGATCGTATACAGTTTTAATTAGTCAAGCTTCAACGCAGATATCAAACACCAAATAGGAAAAATCGAAAAAGTTAAAATTCTCTGGGATCAACAAAGATAGAAAGACCAGGCCGTGATTTAGTCCAGTCACCCACAGACCCGTCACTGTAGTCTTCCCCTAATCGTTTTATACACCATAAGTCCTCGGCGCATGATAGTTTTTTCCAGTGAGGAATTCCTAACTTAAGCGGTTCGCAGCTTGCTACTTCCGTCACCACCACTCCGCAACCCGATTCAGCCGCTAAGTTATGGGCCAAATCACAAAGGGCCTTAGTTAACTTAACGGATAATGGGCCTTCCCCACCAAGCCCATACATAAAATGAAGCCCAAAAGGCCTGAAAACTTCGGGTACAGATGGAACCTTAAGCCATGGAAAAGCCCGGTCCATTAAACGGGTCGTTTTAGCTAAACCCTTCATCATCCTCGATGCACCTCGAACTTCGAGCTTGAACACGTCCTTACAGTTCCACACACTGAGTACAGCCCATGATTCGGGCGGATTCGTTAAGAACTCGTTGATACATGAAAATGTACCCTTTGGAACTGCTACAAAAGTACCTAAATTGAGTTTATTGTTGAGAATTGAATCGATGTCTTTTGGGAAGAACTCTGTGGTGGAGAATTTATGGCGGTACAGAGTTTCAGCTTCAGTCGGGGTGAGTTTGTAGATAGTTATGGTTTTTGAGATTTTGACCCGGTGAGCGAAAACGGGTTGCACCAGAATGGATGGAGTGCGGAACTTGGCGTAACCGCATTTGTGTGTGAAGAGTTTCACAGAAGCATGGTTATCGTTTTCAGTAGCTATATATGAATATGCAGCGCCATTTTCTCTGAACCATTCTTCCATCTTCCGTACCAATTTCAACCCTATTCCTTTTCTCCTGAAAAAGGGAAACATGATTCACATATTTGTTATTGTTTAATTTTTGTGCATTGATAGTATAACAAATATTTTTTGTTTTAATTTATTTGTCTGATTATAATTGAAACGATCATCAAGAATTTGTTTAATGTTTTAAAATAACTTACTTGAAAAAATTAAAAACAAGACAAATAAATTAAAACGGAGAAACTATTTATATAATCAGCATGCACGTGCACTAGGTACAACTATTATATGCACCAATTTTCTATGTATGTCCATTATGTTAAACGACACTAATTATATTATTCGAATTATGTGATTTAATTCGAACTAGCTAATATTTTGCGTGAATTAAAATATAAAAAATTAAAAGAATATTTAATAATTAATATACATAAATTGAACTTTAGGGGTATAATTAATTTGAACCATTATCAAAAACTTGTTATGATGTTATAAACAACTCTACTATATAATTATTATTATTATTATTATAATATAGGTAGAGAGCCAACTATAATATTATATATACATACAATATATAATATAAAGAAAATACGAGGTCATTAGAATGTGTCTGATTTAGTAAAATACTAAACAATTATTTGGTCACATCTAAATTATTAAAAAAATTACTTTCACGAAAAAAAATAAAATATATAAAATAACAATAGAAAGAAAATTAGTTACCGGTGATGAGGAGAGACACGAAGGCCTAAAATATATGCAAGTTTAGTGAAAACAGGGAGGTGTTGTTGATGAGACAATTTGGGGAAATCGTGATTGTTCCTCCACACTCTCTTTCCACACGTAACGCTTTTGATACAGCCTCTTATCATCCCTACTATTCCCCTGCTTTCTTCTCCCACTACTATCTCTGCCACCTGTTAATCATCACACAATCAAAACTGACAATAAAACACAACTTACTATTATAATTTAAATTCTGAATAGATGTACCAGCATGAGATAAGCAGGGGAATGGCGAACTCTACAAATTGGATCACCTAAAAGGTCAGTGAAAAGAGAGAGTTTTCCACTAGGACCAACTTCACATCTTCTTTCTACTTCTTCCACTTGCCTGCAATCTTTGTTCGCGTTGAATTCTCTGATTACTATTCTCACTTGTTCATTAACCGCCATCATCTTCTTCTTCTCTATTGAAACTAGAAAGTAAAATATTTGTAACTAATTAGAAATGCAGCTTTACTTTTGAGAAAAGATAAATAGATTGGTGTATTTTACGTGACGTTGTAGCAAAGACAGAAAGGGGGCCGTTAAGAAAAACCTTTATTTCTATATTTCTGGGTGTCTCGTTAGAGAGTGAGTGAAGGTGAGTAGTTGGTTATAATTTGCAAAATTTAAATACTTTGACAAGGATAATACCTTACTTCTTTCTCTGCCCACTCCCTTTTATACTGATTTTGGCACCCCTCTCTCCGTATTCCCTATAAATTTTCCTACTCCTTTGATGGCTAATTTACAATTTAATATTTGATCCGTTTAACTATACTTGTCAACTATTGATTTTGCACACTTTTTTAGAAACTATAAATAAAATAGGTCATTTTACTGTATCACTCTTTAAATATAATAAATACAATGTCTTGAAAAATATAATAGAGAAATGATTATAATTAATTATAAGGAACTTTAAATTTAAAAAAAATAAAAAAAAATTAATTATAAGGATAAATTAGGAACTAAATATAAAATTATCCATTGATATCATAAAATGAATAAATATTGTTGGACATCCCAAAATTATATAGTACACAACTATTATTGAATGAAGAGAGTAATTTATAACCTAATGAATTACTCCTTTTGAGGTAGTACTAGAGTTTGAAAATAAAATATATTTTTTCGATTCATTTTTATTTGTCTATTTTGAATTTTACACATTTCTTAAAAAATAATAATTAATATAAGTATTTGCCACATGTCCATATTACTTGATGTATAGTTTTAAGCAATAAAAATCTATTTTTAAAATACTAGATCAATAAAAATAAACGTCATAAAAAAAAAAAAAATTGATTACTGATTGAAATTTCCCTAATTACGATCCCTCAGTTAACGGCACGTCTCTCATTTTACAAAATAACTGTAAACACAAAGTTAGGAGCATTTAACAACTCCAATGAGATGGAGGATGACTTGAGGCCTTTCATTTCAAGTGAGTTAATTAAGATTAATTTCAAATAGAGATAAAATGAAATTACAGTAAACTAATGACAATATGAGAATAGTTTTAGTGAAATACTTATAAATTATTCATATCGTTCACTCGACTAATTTACGAATAAAAATCTAAGATGGGATGCTAGTGATTTTAATTTTATCGGTGATTAATTACTGGTTAGTTTAGATAAGTTTTTTGGCAAGTCCCTTTCGATTCCTTTTGTTCAACTCTTCAACTTTCTCATTGGAAGTGGTGAGTGGTGATCCTGCTAATGATAATGAAAGAATTAATTATGCAATTAATTTTCACAAAAGTAGAATTTAATTTGGGTAATGATCATCAAGAAAGTGGAAGAAATGGCTGCGGAGTTTCGTTCCACCTGTACTTTTAATTGCCATAACATAATGACCCTATTTTGTAATCATTGCACTTCACAATAAAGTTTATTTGTTTATAATGAGATTAAAAAAAATGTTTTCATCTTAATATATTTATTTAAATAATTTAAACATTGTTTTAAATTTAAATATTACTTAATTAATCAAGATTATTTGTTTTTTAACCTCAATATATATAGTTTATTTATTTATAGCATGATAAATATACAATTTTAAATAACAAATCAATCAAATATTAAAAATATATATTAATTTAATAAAATAAAATTATTGTTTAAGTTTGAAAAAACAAAATATTTATGTTTAGTAATTGTGGTAATAGGGATAATTATTGGTGTTAGTGTTTGTAATGATGGTGCTGAACTGCTGATAAATATAGGGTAGACGTGGTTAGTATTATAGTGACTAATCATGATAGCGATTGGTAACGATTGATAATGGTACTGAGGGGGAATAATCCAATCAATATTTGTGGTTGTGTAGTACTCTTTCTACCATTTTGCCGTCTAATACGCTACAAATGTATACAACTATGCCAGGGATATCGAAGATATGTTTTTCAAGCTATTGGATCACCTTATATAAATTTTGTGATCATTAAAAGTGAAATTTTATTTCTATTTGAATTTTAACAGTGTACAAAGTTTGATTAGCATTTGTGATACTTCTGTTTTTCCACCAATTTTTACAATTGTGAGGTTCATATTTGTATTACTTTTACACGTTAGATTTCGCAATTACAAATCTTGATTTGCAATTGTAAATTTCTGATTTTGCTTACGCTTCTCCCCGTTGCGAGCGACATTCGCAATTGTGAATTTAATAACATCAGAAAAAAAAAAAAATTCACCAGTTTTCTGTCCTCCAATTTTTTTCATTCTTTTGTCCGATTCCACTTCGTTTCTTCTCAAATCCTCTTCCAAACCACAAATACTGAAGTAATGAGATTAAAATGTGTGGTAAAATTATCAGACATCAATTAACAGTAAAACTTATTTAAAAAGTCAAAGATAATTGAATTAAAATCGATCTTGTTAATTTTATTTTAATTTTTTGACAAAACGTCAAGGCAATGAGCCATTACAAGAATATACATTATTGAAGATAAAGGAAAATAGAAGTTAGGAGAAGGTTCAGAGCCTTTTCCACGTATTCCCTCTCCTTAATTACTTGTTCAATTTTTCATTTTTACTTGTTCATTTGACAAATCAAGAAAGATCAATTTTTTTAAATCTATTTTATTTTCAATTAATTACTTTGAAAAAGATAGAAATTTTTGAAAATCTTAAATTTTTAATTTATTCACTTCATAATTAATAAAGGTAAAATAGTAAATTCACTATGTCAATCATTATTTTCTTAGAGCATGTTTGGATGAGATTTTAAGCTGGTCAAACTGACTTTTTGGACTTATTAGAGTGTTTGACAATTATCAAAGTGACTTATTTTAAGTCAGAAATGACTTATTTTAAGCCAAAAGCTAAAAGCTAGGTGAGGGGAGCTTTTTTATAAAAAAAAACTTAAAAGCCCTTTTATGTTGACCAAGTATATTACATTTTTGCTCTTAATTTTTTTATACAATTCCCAAATTGCCCATATTGAATTAACCCTAATATCTATTATTATTATTATTTGTTATTATTATTATTATTATTATTATTATTATTCCTCTTATAAATAATTTGTGGTGGTAAAGAAATATGTGAATGATAGGAAAATATTACTATTACTTATGGATGTAAAATATAAATTTATTTTTAAGTATAAAAACCTTAAATTAATCAACTTTTTATCATGTTAACAGCTTAAAGGGTATTTCAGACACTTTGATTAAAAAAAGTGTTTACCAGTACTTATTTGTCAAACATATCAACAACTTTTTTTTCAATTACAACATTTTTTTTCAAACACATAACTACTTATTTTTAAAATAAGTTTCAGCACTTTTAAAAGTTACTTTTTAAAAGTTATTTTTTTTTAAGTCAATCCAAACGTTACTTGATGTGACTATTCAAAAGGACAAATAATTAGGGACAAATAAAGTATATTCTAAAAAGAGAAGATAATGAGGAAATTAGGATGACTTGAGAGATTCTTCTAATGCCTTCCTTCGAAATTTTTTATCATGGATGAGGCATAAGTATGATGCGGCAGACAAGAGTTGTATGAGGTTCATTTATATTTTGCCAAGTGGATCACTTTCAGAAAAAGGGCACACTCCTCTTTCTCTCTCTTCCTTTTAACGTTTTTTCCCTTTCTTACTTCTTTTACTCTTTTTTTTCCTTTGGTAATTGTTCCAAATTTTATACTTTCATACTTAAAATAACTTTATTCATGAAAAATATGAAATTTAAAAAATTTTGCTTGACTCATTCTATTTATTACATTTTTATATTGTTTTTTCCATCTCATATTAATTATTTATATTATTAAAAATAGTTATATAAAATTAATTTTTAATTTACAAAGATATGATTAATTAAATTTTTTCTATTTTATTATAACAATTAATTATTTTTCAAAGTATAAATAAAATTTATAAAGTTACCAAAAAAAATTAAGGTATATATTTTATTTGTGTTTTCTTAAGAAATTTGTAAAAGAAAAAGTAGACCATTAATATGAAAAATAAAGAAGGTATAAATTTAATATGTTCTTTTATTTTTCTCTCAACAATTTCATAATCCAAAAACACTTCAATCCACAAATACTCTTCAATAAGTAACTAAAACGGAAAGAACATCAATGATCTTGAAAAACAATTACATAAGTTTTGATACTATTGTCATGAAATTCAAAAACGAAAAACATCCATAAACACCAACATAAATACATATTATTTCCGTCAATTTATACCATATTCTTATTCTTAAAAACCAAGATAGGTGATTTTGCTTATCTACTTTTCTTAAATGTTCTTAAAGAAATTATAAATATAAATTATATTTTTAATAATTTATTCCTTAAAAGAACTTTTGCAATTTTGCAAAATTTATTTATAATTATAAAAAAATTAATTGTTAGGATTAAAAAAACTACTTATATCTTGATTTTATAAACTAAAAAATAAATTTCAAACAACTATTTATTATAATAAAATAAATAATATAGAATAGAAAAAAATAACATTAAAATAATAAACTAAAAATTTATATAATTATTGTAAATTTAAATCAAAATTCAGTACGTAAAAAAAGAAAAGCATAAGCTAATTAGTTCAGTGGGTTGATTACATGAATTTTCACTAATTTTTTTTTTTAATTACACTATCATCAATTTTCTTGAATTCATCCAAAATAAGTAAATTTAATTTTTTGGACATATGACTTTAATTTTCCCTCAAATAAATAGTAACGGAGATATAAAATATATAATAAATACCGTGTGTGAGTTTCAAAATTTCTTTATTAAAACAAAAAATAAAAAATAAAATTTACACTAAGAATTAACAAGCAAAAAGGAAAATGCAAGTAAGAAAGAAAAAGTAAAAAAAAAGATTAAAACTAGAAAAGAAAAAGTAGGGACATAAGTACATATGGATCCCACAGTATACATGTGGCAGCCAAATGAGGCCTCACACAACTGATGGTATATGTGCCTCGCCCAGAATAAAAATTTTCCCTTCATTTTATTCTTTTGAGAGGATAATTTGGTCAAAAAGTCAAATCATCACTTGAATGTGAAATGACTACACATTTAATACTGAAAAGGCTATCTAGTAGTACATGTCTAAGTTCGATATTGGACTTGAGATTGATTAGGAGCATATTGGTACAAGGTTCAAGATT